GAACTACAGATGACAATCTGAGCCTTGTAATTGGCACCTGAAGTTGGGCCAGCCTTGAAGCACTATTCCCTTAACCTGCACAGTCCTGTGGGACTGTATCCTTAACCCATAGGAAGGTCTACACAAACTCTGGTTAGTGTTAGAATTGAATTGAATTGTAGGATATCCAGCTGGTTTTTTGAGAACTGGCTGATGGGGGAAAAATCTCACACACATCCAGTTACAGAAGTGTTATGTTTTGAGGGCAAAGTATTAAAAAATCATTGGTTTGGGCTGGCTGCAGTGGCTCATACCTATAATCCCAGGATTTTGCGAGGCCAAGGCAGTCAAATCAGGAGGTCAGGAGTTCAAGACCAGCCTGGCCAACATAGTAAAACCTCATATCTACCAAAAGAAAAAAATACAAAAAATTAGCTGGGCATGGTGGTGGGCACCTATAATCCCAGCTACTCAGGAGGCTGAGGCAGGAGAATTGCTTGAACCTGGGAGGTGGAGGTTGCATGAGCCAAGATCATGCCATTGCACTCCAGCCTGGGTAACAGAGCAAGACTCTGTCTCAAAAAAAAAAAAAAAAAAGAAAAAGAAAAGAAAAGAAAAAGAAGAAAAGAAAATCACTGGTTTGGTTTTCTTATTAACACAATGTAAGTTATTCATAGTATTGACTCGATTTTCTAAATCTCCAGTGTCTGTACTTGTGTTCCTTTTTCAGTCATAATATTGTACTCCCTATTTTGTCCTTATCAGTCTTATTAGGTTTGCCTATTTTATTCACTCCTTTCTATAACAAACTTTTGGCTCTGTTATTTATCTCTAATTGTATTTTTGTTTTCTATTTTGGTGTTTTCTTCTCTTTATTGGTTCCTTCTTTTTGCTTTCTTTGGACTTATTTCTTAGTTCGAATAACTAGCCCTTAAGTTAAATACCTCGTCCTTTAGTTCCCAACCTTTGTTTCTCTCTGATATGAAATTTAAGGTATAAATTCACCCCTGAGAACCACTTCAGCTGCATCTCACTTTTTTAGTAATATTATCATTAAATTCTAAATATTTTCTCCTGTTCATCATTTTTCTTCTTTGAAGTAATAATTAAATTATTTCTAGCCCTAGCACAGTGGCTCATGCCTGTAATCACCACACTTCGGGTAGCCAAAACAAGAGGATCACTTGAGCCCAGCAGTTCAAGACCAGCCTGGGAAACACAGGGAGACCCTGTATCTATGAATAATTTTTAAAAATTAGCTGAGCATGGTGGTGTGCACCTGTGGTCCCTGCTACTCAGGAGGCTGAGGCAAACACCTGATCCTGGGATGTTGAGGCTGCAGCAAGCCGTGATCAGCCACCACCCTCTGAACCAAGCAACAAAGCAAAACCCTGTCTCAAAAAAAAATACATATATACGTACACCTCAAAGTCTTTGGGGTACTATTATTATTGATTTCTGTGGTTGATGATGCTATTCAGCTACCCAATGTCCATTCTCTCCTCATCCTTCGTAACAAAACCCTAAGTTTGAGGCAGCAATGTGCCCAGTTAATAGATCATATTTCCCAGTGTCTCTTGCAGCTAAGTCTAGCCACAAGACTAAGTTCTGATAAATGAGATATGAAGTACTAAGCACCTCAAACTCAAAATATTCTCCAAGCACACTACTGATGATCTCCACCAAAAATCTATTCTCAAAATCCCCACTACTTCCACTTCCTTTCACTCCAGGTTTTTGAAGCCACAAACCTAGAAGTCTTTCTTGATTCCTCTTTTCTTCATATCCCACATCCCAGCCATTACAATAGCCTATCAGCTCTGCCTCCAAAACCTTTCTAAAATCGAATCACTTCTTTGTTACTCAACTAATTTGAACCTACTCCTAACTACCACTGCCTCACTGAAATAACCTAATAACTTCCCAGGGGACTCAAAATCTCTTTCTTCCAGAAAACTTATCCTGAATACAGGAGCCACTGAACCTCTTAAATGCAAATCAGATGATTCCATATCTGGCTTAAAATGAACTTTCATTATGGCTTCTGCTTGAGAGCCAGAAAAAAAGACAAAACTCCTTTCATTGGCCACCAGGCCCCATGTAATCAGATACCTGCCAATTCCTCCAACCAACCACTCCTTTGCTCTACACTTTCAGCTGCATTGACATTCTCCTGCTCTTAATCATGCTGGGTTCAGCCTGCCTCAGGCTGCCTGGTCTTCCTGCTTAGAGTAATCTGTCTCCATGAACTTTCTGCCGACCAGAACTTTACCTGGTTGCCTCTTTCTCATAGTTCAAATATCATCTTCCCTCATATGTGCATGTATGTTCATTGCAGCACTATTCACTATAGCAAAGACAAAGAACCAACCTAAATGTCCATCAATAGTGGACTGGATAAAGAAAATGTATTACGTATACACCAAACACTATGCAGCTATGAAAATGAACAAAATCACATCTTTTGCAGCAACATTGATAGAGCTGGAGGCCATTATCCTAAGTGAATTAACACAGGAATAGAAAACCAAATAGTGCATGTTCCCACTTGTAAGTGGAAGCTAAACATTGAGTACACATGGACACAAAGAAGAGAACAATAGACACCAAGACCTACTTAAGGGTGGAGGGTAGGAGAAGGGTGAAGACCTATGGAGTCCTATGCTTATTACCTGGGTGATGAAATGATTTGCACACCAAACCCCTATGACATGCCATTTATTCATGTAACAAACCTGCACATGTACCCTCTGAACCTAAAATGAAAGTTGGAAAGAAAACATGGAATTACTATATGATCCAGCAAACTCGAAGAAGAAGAAGAAGAAGAAGAAGAAGAAGAAGAAGAAGAAGAAGAAGAAGAAGAAGAAGAAGCAGAAGCAGAGGAGGAGGAGGAGGAGGAGGAGAGGGAGGGAGGGAGGGGGAGGAGAGGGAGGGAGGGAGGGAGGGGGAGGAGGAGGAGAAGGAGGAGGAGGAGGAGGGAGGAGGAGGAGGAGGAGGACCTTTCCTGACCACACTACCCTAGCAAAAGCAGCACCCTCCTCCCACCCTAAGTGACCTTCAACCTCATTACCACCAATTTACAGTTTTCATAGCACAGCGATTTTCTGGAATTACCTGAATTATCTGACTTACTTATCTGATAATTTCCCATTATTTATGTTGTTCACTATTGATAGTCTCCTAAAAAGAAATATTTTTTTTTTCGTTACTGTTGCTTTTACTTTCTGACTATTGTTAGGTGGTCATTAAATACAATATATAAGATATAATACTGGAATACATACACACAGACACAGAGACACACACACATATACAATATATAATACAGGTTATCTGATATACATGATAGTATGTAATACATAATATATGTTTTATATATGTTATACAATATCTGATGTACAGTGCATAATATACAATGTATAATATACAATAAAGTATATGGCAGTCAATATACAGTGTATACTATATACAAGGACAAATAATATTAAAGTATTTTAAAGATATACATCTTAAAATTTTTCAGTCCTACTTCTATAATTACTCCAAAGCCACAAAAACACAGAAAGGAAGAAAGAGAGAGGAAGAGATGATGCAATTTGAAAGAGGATCTAGCTGATGCCAAGCCCTGATCCATATAGGACAGCACTCACTTCCCTGTTCTAACTTAAGCTATCAGAAGAAAGGAGTGGGCACCCAGGGGGCACTGGCCTGTGAGCTACAGAGGCATCATCTTACTGTGGTATGAGCTAAATGCCAGCTCTCATTGTCACCTGCACTACTCCTTGATGAGAGAATGAATCTGTGGTTCCCTTTCATGAAGTGTTGCCTTCTAAGAGCCTAGACATACCAGTTGTAGAATAATAGCAATAAAGAGACTTGGCTGGGCCTGTTTCCTTTCCAACACAGTTCATTCTGGGAGTCATGGAATCCCTCAGCTGCACAGATCCTTGACGTCCAAATTAACATATAACTAATGAAACAGCATATTGCAGGTGACTTACTTAGATATATTCCTCTGCTTAGGGCAAAGTAAGAACAGTAAGAAAACCAGGTCATGTTTTTCAACTGGGGCATGTTTTTCATCTTTTCTACTATTGGCCTTTTTCATTAATCTTAAAATGTTATTTTCTACATCGTTGATTGCTACTCTTGAACTGCATTTCCAGTCACTATAAGCTACTTTTCTGCAAGCTGTAATTTAAGCCCATCTTGATCACAAATTTTGAAAATGGAAATCCATAGAAGAGAAAACTATCTCCTCCTCATGTGCCTGGGATGTTGTGATTTCATACGTGTTGCTAGGCTGTGTGGTCCTTTTTAGAGGAAGTTGCAATTCCCTTCATGATAAATAGGAAGGAAATGAAGGTGATTAAAGCCCTTAGGATGTAAATTTCAGTGTTGGCTGAATGGTTCTTTTTATCCCAATCCTGCTTTTGTAAACAAAGTTCTGGTGAGACTGAATCTGGAAAGCTACCACAGCTCCATGACAACTGGACTGGCCAGCCATGGTGACCATCTCCATGTTCACATCATAGTCATTTACAGCCATGCATATGCACATTGTAGGGACAAACACTCACTTTGGCTCTCACCAAGAAAAAGAGCATTAGCAACCAATTAGTAGAAGGTGGCACAGGAGAGGAGCACTACTAACAGGTCAACTTTGTGCCTAGTGAACTCAGCTGTTAATTTCTATGCATGACGGTAAGACAAAATTATTGCCCTAGTTTCTGTATGTTGGCCACATACAGGCACTGCCAAGACCCCTAATGCACTGTGATTTCTATGCTCGGACATCAGATGCATGATACCGGTTTTTCTCAGTGTACATATGTGTGTAAAGAATAGGAGATAGCATGACTCTCAAACAGAGATCCAAGGTTTTCTAAATTTAAAAAATCCTTTACTAGTCATAAAGTCAAAAATACAAAGAAACAAATCTTCTTATGTGGAAAGCAACTGAACCCAAAAGGATGACACTACGGAGCCGCCCTGCGCATAGCACTCCGCTGACTCACCTTTGCATGGGGTGTGCTTCTATCCCACAGGGTGGCACTGCTCACAATGGGAATGTAGCAAGGGGATTTCTGAAAGATTAGAAACAAGGCATTTAGTATCACTTCAGTGATTCTTACAAAGAAACATTTTCACTCCTGAGATGGTTTTTAGGTAGATCAGAAGTTAATTCTTTCAACCCATGGCTATTCATTCACTGAGTACCCAATATTGCCCGGAACACTGTCCCAGGTGCTTTGGAACAATGGTGAGCCCAAAACATAATTCCCATCCTCAAGAGTCCAGAGGAGGCTGCAGGTAATAATGAAATAATCACACAAATAAATGTAAAATTTCAACTCTGATATGTGCGATGAAAGAGAGAGACAAAGTATTTTGAAAATATGGTGATATATTAGAATGAAATAGAATTAAACATTTACACCCTTTTCCATGTGACTTTGATGTACCTCCCATGTCATGAAGCCCATCCCAGCTGAGCTCAATGCAGCCATAGTCAACCCACAGGCCCATGAGCATAAATAAGAAATGAACGTTTCTTGTTGAAAGTCACTTATTTGGAGTAGCTTGGCATGCAGAATTATCATTGCAGAAACCTATGACTGAAACATATACACAATACATACAATAAATATACTCAGTGAAGTCAGAAGAGGTAACCGCTGGGGATCTCACATTGGAAGAGAACAATTTTACTTAAATATCAAACCAGACATTGGATTTGAAGTGTACTTGCAATTTTACTTAAAATATCAAACCTCATCCATCTGCATGACAGCTAAAATAGATAGATAGATAGATGATAGATAGATAGATAGATAGATAGATAGATAGATAGATAGATATCAAACCTTAATAAGATAATATCAGGATTTGTTTTCCTACTTCTGGTTTTCAGTGTGGTGCTTTCTATTTAGTTAGTTAGTCACGCTCTTCAGGGTCTTTGACTTTTTGTTCCCCAATATTTGCTAAAACCAGTCTGTTAAGGCTGGTGTCATGAAGGAGAGATCACCAAAAATCTATCACTAGGATATGTCAGAAAAACAATGTATATGTTAGAAAAACAAGGGTAAGTCTGCCATTACATTTCCCAGAGGTGATTAGAGTCTAAAGCAAGAGGGAGTAACCAAAGAATCACACAAATAAAGGTAAGATTCCCGTAACACTAAATGTTATGAAGGTATAGACATAGGTAGAGTCAAGTCACTATTATGTTGACTTAGGTAATGGACTGGGAACCTAAATGGAGACAAAAATGGAAGAAGAAACAAGAGCTTCTCTGAGATCAAAGTACCATAACTGACAGATGGCAACAAGAGAAGTGGTAGGGGTTCCCAGGTGGCAGAAGTAGGTAAAATTACTAGAATCTGGAATAAATAATTGGAGAGCATAATTGATTTCACAGCACTGAAGCTAAGTAGTGCTACAACTGTGATGCATTTATACTGCCTGTCAAGGACAGGTGGGGCACATGGGCCTCCCTGATATGTTCTCCCATGAGGTCAAGAAAATGTGTCTTCTGCCTAGTATCCCTCACATCAACTCTGTGTTGGGCACATGGTAAGCATCCAATCGATGCTCTTAAAGAATGCAGGGGCACTCTCCTGTCATCCCAAAAGGAGTCACAGGGTGCAAAACCTGAAGAAATTCGAAATTGACAACATGTGCACTTGATAGATGAGGAAACTGCTGAAGATCACACAGCCACATAGTGGGACAAGCCAGGGCTCAAATTTTAGAATCTGGACTTTGTATTCTACCTATCGTCCTCTGTTGGGTTATAGGCACACATGCACAGCCTTCAAACCCCACCTGCCTGGGTTTGATTGAAAAAGCAACCCCATGTTTGCAGGGAGGGGAAGAAACTTCATTTACAAAGCAAGAATCACCAGTGGGAAAATCACGCCCATCCCCATAATATGCATCTCAGTTCTCCTCCATGGACTTCCTGGCACTCACTCAAACCATGTACATTCACACATCTGGTATCTTCCAATTAGGCAACCTTTGCCCAGGCAGTTGCACCAAGCAGCGAATGCTGTCCCAAACCATTCTGCTCTGATACTTTTTTTTTATTTTAGTGGAGATTTCTTAGTGCCACTCCTAAGAGCTATTCAAGTTGTGGATGGCACAGCAGGGTGGCATCATTCACAGAGACTGGGATGCCAAAACAATACCTCTTGGGGTTGTTTGTGTACCACCTGAACAACTATACAAAACAGTTCTGATATTTCTGTTCTCTGAAGAACAAGACTTTATGGTAGCCAATAGTGCAAGGAAATCATGTGCATTACGATTGTTTTGGTTTTTTAATTTTTTATAAAGCATTATTGAGATATAATTTATGTACAAATGGATGCATATATTGGAGGTATCTGCAGGAAGAAAGAACAATTAGGGAATGTAAGTAACTTAGAAACCTTGAACTTTTAAGCAAGACAAGGAGTCCAGAAAGAAACAGACTAGCAGTACAGGTAGAATTTCTTGGTAAACAAAAAGCTATTGTAATCAACAAGGCAAAAATAAATAAATAAAAAGGCTGAAAGAATAAAGTAGCTGGGATATTCATTGCAAGTCATTAACCTGATTTTCTAATGAATATGGCATTAGGCATTCATTAACAATCATTTGTGTTTATGTTGAACAGTGGATGTATAATGAAGGTTGGTAAATGAAAGCAAAATTAAACCAGGGAATTTTGGACACTTATAAAGCAATTAACTTGTTTGGCAGTAATTACATATTGAAAGCTAAATCAAGTGCATTTAGAAAGCCACAAGAGTCGCCACATAAACCAGAGGTGCTTTGCTCTAAAATAATAGAAAAGCCTCCCTTTCTTTCCAAATGAAAGAGAAAGGCAAAAGTATGGTATAAATGACAAACAAGGCTCAGGTCTAATGAAAAGAAATATGGTTACAGCCCATATGTTAGAGAAGAGGCAAGTTATGAAAAAATAGGACAGCTCAGCTAATTAAAAGAGAAAAAAAAGCCTTTTGTAACAACAATGATGTGAAAACAGGTGGCATGTGCTAGAGAGTTCAGGTTTTTGTTCTGTTCACGCTCACAGGCATGCACACTCATGCAAGCGCACACATGCATCTACACACTTGAACCACCTAATAGGTGCGTGAGGAGTGAAAACTGAATCCACCATCAGGTCCTTGGAAGGCCACAATATCTCAGTAGCAGGTTTTTGTCACTGACGATTTTGTAACATGATTCTCCAGATGAGTGTTTGACCACAGCCTTTTATTCGACCTACCACATGGCCTTAGAGGTCAGTCATTAAACACACTCCAGGACTCTGTTATTTAAAAAGGAGGAGTGAATAAGGTACTATGGAAGATATAAAGGTGAGACCAAGGGAGAAACCATTACTGAACTGGTGATGAAGCAAAAGAAATAAACCTAAAATTCATGCATCCACAAGATTCATCAACAGAAATGTTAGTATAAAAATGCATTTAAGAGCCGATGAACCTTTCAGATAAGGAATGAATTTTCAACCCTATAATATACTAGCCAAGAAATGCTACAAACATACTGTTTTTGTGTATCTGCACGTGTAGAGGTGCAGTTTCCACTGGGATCATAAGGCTGGAGAAGAGAGTCTTCAGATGAGCACAAAGGTCTGAGCAAAGGGATCAAGTTTTTCAAACTGGAGTCTTGATCATGCTCTTCTAAAAGATCTGAAGATTTATGACCTCTTTCCATCTGACAGATACCTTCACAAATAGGGAGTTGTAGGCTCTTGAGGGTTAGTAACCAAAAGAAAAGTTCCCAGGGGGATCTACAAAGGGCAGCTGGCTTTGTGGAAACATTTGCGAAGAGCTTGGGTGTCAACTACGCTGAAAGCAAATACTTGCTTTGCCCCTGAGACTGGAACGGAAACCAGGAGATAGCTTTTGAAATCCTTGCTTTGGTCATTAAACTGCTACCAAATAAAAAACGTGTTTGCCTTGATGTGGGGTAGCGCATTTCTTTCTAAAGAAGTGGTCTCTCTTTAAAAAAAGTCATTTTCTATCCAAGCAGAGGATCAAGACATTACAATGAAAAACTTATTTCTCACTTATTTGAACACTTTTTAAATATTTAGGTTGTCTATTTAGTTCTAATAATGTGAATTGTTTCATTTGCAGTTTACTGGGTTAGAAAATTACTGCCTGATTTTGGCCAAGATCTCATCAATATACCAGTGTACTATTTTATTATCTTTACAACAGACCCAATGCCTTTCCCTGAGACTTCACAAGCAAAGGCATTAAATATCAATAAATTCAGGGAATACACCATTCTTGAAGGCACCTACTACTAATCCAGGGCTTCTTACATTTTATTGTACATCAAAATCATCCTGAGGAGTAGTTACAATGCAGCTCTAATTCAGGAGGTCTAGAGGAGGGCCCGAGATTCTTGTTTTATAACAAGCTACCAGATTATGTTGGTTCCAGAACAGCCCCCAGGTGATGTTGATCTACTGATCAACATCAGTAGAAAGTAGATAGCTGCTTTTGAGAGGATATATGGTCAGGACCGGACATAACTGAAGCCCTGAAAATAGATCAGTTCTTCTCCAAGAAGAGACCTGGATGGTGTAATGATCAGAAATTAAGCAATAGAGAAATATCCATTAAAGATGAAATATACAAGGAAAGGGTCTGGTCACCACTGCTTCTAATCATCTATGTTTCCCAGCTGCCATGGCTTGGACAACGCTTTTCTCTCCACTGGTCCAGATGTTGAGATCAAGACAATTCAGTTTATCAAATAGCTATTGGTTTGCCATGTACTATGTTCAGCACCAAGGATACAAAAGTAAACGAAGCATCAGCTCCATAATGCTCCCCTCGTGCAATTACAGCACAGCAGGATAAAGGCTGTGAAAAGTGATGACTAAGGTACCAGGGGAACTCCTCTCCCATACGTAAGGAGAAGATTTAGACAAATGTGAAAGATCAGGAAACACTTCTTGGAAGAGATGTCAGCTGAGCCAAATGTTGAAAAAAAGAGAAAAAAAAAATCCAGTTGAAAAAGAAGAAGTAAAAGTAATGTTAACAGAGGGTCATCATGG